CTCCTCCACATCCTCCTCCCCCTCCCTCCTCCCCCCTCCTCCTCCTCCTCACCTCCCTCTCTCCTCTACACTCCTCCCTCCCCCTACTCCCCCCTCCCCCTCTCCCTCCCTCCCTCCTCCCCACTCCTCCTCAACCCCCTCCTCCCTCCCCCTACTCCCCCCCTCCCTCCCTCCTACCTTCCCCTACTCCCCCCCCCCCTCCTCCTCCACACTCCTCCTTCCCCCCCCCCTCCCCCCGCCCCCCCCCCCACCTCCCCCCCACCCCCCCCCCCCCACCCCCCCGCCCCCCCCCCCAACAGGTGGGCCTCACGGGCATGACGTCGAAGGGCGCCGAGGACGTGCTGGGCTTCCTGCGCGTGGTGCGCTTCGTGCGCATCCTGCGCATCTTCAAGTTGACGCGCCACTTCGTGGGTCTGCGCGTGCTGGGACACACGCTGCGCGCCAGCGCCAACGAGTTCCTGCTCCTCGTCATCTTCCTCGCCCTGGGCGTGCTCATCTTCGCCACCATGATCTACTACGCCGAGCGCCTCGGTCTCGGACACTCGTTCGACCAGGACGACCAGACGTCGTCCTCCTCCTCCACCTCCACGTCCTCCTCCACCTCCACGTCCTCCTCGTCCTCCTCGTCCGACCACCACAATCACCAGCATCAGCAGACCAGCTTCAAGAACATCCCCATCGGTTTCTGGTGGGCCGTGGTGACGATGACGACGCTGGGCTACGGGGACATGTACCCCAAGACGTGGTCGGGCATGCTGGTGGGGGCCTTGTGCGCGTTGGCAGGGGTGCTCACCATCGCCATGCCCGTGCCCGTCATCGTCAACAACTTCAGCATGTACTACTCGCTCGCCATGGCCAAGCAAAAGCTGCCCAACCGGCGCAAGAAGCACGTGCCGAGGCCGCCACATCTCGGCTCGCCCCTCTACTGCCGGCCAGAGCAGGGCCCGCACGCCAACTGCGTGCGGAGTGACCGCTGCCTGCTGGTGAAGGGTGCCAGTGGTGGTGGTGGTGGTGGCAGTGGTAGTGGCGGTGGTGGTGGTGGTGGTGGACGGAGCGTGGCTTCCGCGGGACTGGTGGTTGACCGTGCAGGTGAGTGGTGTTGGTGGTGAGTGGGGTGGTGGTGAGTGGTGTTGGTGAGTGGGGTGGTGGTGAGTGGTGTGGTGGTGAGTGGTGGTGAGTGGTGTTGGTGGTGAGTGGTGTTGGTGAGTGGTGTGGTGGTGAGTGGTGTGGTGGTGAGTGTTGAGTGGTGTGGTGGTGAGTGGTGTGGTGTTGGTGTGGTGGTGAGTGTTGAGTGGTGTGGTGGTGAGTGGTGTGGTGGTGAGGGAAGTGAGTGTTGTGGTGGTGAGTGTTGTGGTGGTGAGTGGTGTGGTGGTGAGTTGTGAGTGGTGTGATGGTGATGTATGCCGTGGTGGTGGAGGTTGCGGTGGTGATGAAACATAGACCCCCCTAATGGAACATCATCGCCGGTTACAAATATTTAGGCTGGCCTGCCTACGATCCATCCTGGGTTTAACCAGGCTGGATTGTGTAAGGAGCTCACAAATCTTTTAAAGATCTGGACAAAGTCCCATCGGTGAGCTCCTCCGGCAGGCAAGGCTGCGTTGGCTGGGTCATGTAGCCCGCATGCTCATCTACCGCATGCCTAAACAGCTTTTGTTCAGCCGAATCGAGGGGGCTAAACGTGCGTGGCACGGGCTAGAGAAGAGATGGAGTGATGTGGTACAGGATGATGTGGAGCTGAGTGACTGGTACCAGCGGTGTCAAGATCGGCCTCAGTGGAGGAGGCTCGTGAAGGACGCTACTGGGCAGTTGGAGGCAGTCGCCCTCCAGCAACAACGGAGGGCAGAGGAGCGACGCTCACAACAACGAGCAGAGCGCCGTGCGGCTAAAACATAGCTAGTTGGCATAGTAAGGGTACAGCTGGTGGTGCATCTACCGGTCATCTCAGTCAGCCAACCAATGGCACCTGCTGGGTCTGTCCCGAGACCTCCTCCTGCACCTAGCCTGGCACAGTAGGGGTACATCTGGTGGTGCATCTACCGGTCATCTCAGTCAGCCAACTCATGGCATCTGCTGGGTCTGTTCCGTGACCTCCTCCTGCACCTAGCCTGGCACAGTAGGGGTACATCTGGTGGTGCATCTACCGGTCATCTCAGTCAGCCAACTCATGGCATCTGCTGGGTCTGTTCCGTGACCTCCTCCTGCACCTAGCCTGGCACAGTAGGGGTACATCTGGTGGTGCATCTACCGGTCATCTCAGTCAGCCAACTCATGGCATCTGCTGGGTCTGTCCCGTGATCTCCTCCTGCACCTAGCCTGGCACAGTAGGGGTACAGCTAGTGGTGCATCTACCGGTCATCTTAGTCGGGCAACCCGTGGCACCTGCTGGGTCTGCCCTGTGACCTTCTGCCAGCAGCGAGGCCTTCGACACTTCACGTGGTAGCCTCAAAGTGCACCTAGCCTGGCACAGGTGCCGTGGAGACGTCACCATCGCTTAGTGGCTAACGGGGGGCTGGGGTGTTGGTGTCGGTAGTGGAGGTGGTGGCAATGGTTGTTGTTGTTGTTTTCCTCGCACTTTCTGTTCATAGATGGCGTTGTGTCACCACTTTGGAAGGGTTTAGCCAGAGATCAGTCGATTGAATTGTCGGTCCTCGTTGTGGGCAACTGAGAAATGGGGGACGTCTTCTGGCGTTGCTTGGCACAAAGGGCAGCAGAAGTTTGGGACGTTTGGGTCGGTTCGATGTTTAGTAATCGGCGAGCACGGAGCAGCAGTAACCTGAACGGAGTTGAGCCAAGTCTCACATGGGTTGGACCAGATGACGCCAAAAGGTGTCATTTGGTCCAACCCATGTGAGACTAGGCTCTAAGGAAAGCTGTCTCGGGTGTGGACCAATCAACATCAAGGAAAGTGCATACATTATCAAAGTTATGTTTTTTGTTTGCTTTATGACTGCAGGTATTGTGGTCTATGCAAACATGACTCCTTGTAAAAAAAAAAAGGTGCGAGTTTTGTTGCCAGATAGAAGGGTAAAAAAACAATTATATATTTTTACTGGCAAATGAGGTTCCAATGGTGGAGTTGAGCCAGTTTTGTTGCGAGTTGCCCGGCTCAGGGATTTTTCGTCGTCTGCTATGGGTGGTGGCCAACGCCCTAGCACGACATTTGGCTTGTAGGCGTTCAGGCAGTGCATGGTGGCAGCGGTGTGCAAGCGGTTAAACGTTGATTTTGTGGTGCTACTTGGTGGAAGAGCGTTTAACGTAAATCGCACGTTGGCAGAGCTGAAGGAAAGCAAGGTGTATATAATTTTCCTAGCAGGTGCATGGGGGCTTTGAGTAGCTTCGTGCAAGGATGCGTTGTCGAGTGGCACGAAGCCAGATATTGAGCGGTGAGAAGCTTGCGGTGTTCTTGAACCGGAAGAACTTTGATTTCTTAGTGGAGATGGTCAATGGGTGCCATGAGGTAGCATCCTGTAGCTAGGCGAAGTGCTATGGTTTTGGGAGGTTTGGAGCTTTTGGTAACCTGTAGAGGAGAGGTTTGGGCACCAATTGGGACTGGCATAATTGATGATGGGACTGTCCAATGGCGTTGTAGGTTAGGAGTAAAGTCTCCTTTTTCTTTTTGGTTCTTTCGGTAAAGTCACGTAGAAGGGAAGTAATAAAATAATAAAAATAAAACATAATAAAATAAAATATCATTTTATTTAATAATAAAAATAATAAAAATAAAACATAATAAAATAAAATAATATTTTATTTTATTATGTTTTATTTTTATTAATAATAATTAATAATAAAAGTAAAACATAATAAAATAAAATAATATTTTATTTTATTATGTTTTATTTTTATTATTTTATTACTTCCCTTCTACGTGACTTTACAGAAAGAACCAAGAAGATTAATGCCTGCAGTCACGAAAGCTTTAAATCGAAATTTAAAGTCTCCTTTTGTTGACCACAAGATGTGCCGGCTAAAGCTCGTAAGATTTTATTTCGTTTGTCAACTTTTGCATGGACCTTTCTGCCGTGTTGAGCGAAGCTGAACACGGTGTCAAAGGTTACACCTAGAATCTTGGGGATTTTAGCTCGTGGGAGGCGTTGGTTGTGTATTATTACGTTGCGATGTAAGTTGGCTTGACGAGGATCAGGTGTGAAAAGGGCGACTGTTGATTTGGATGTTGAGAGTTGAAGCGATATTTTGGTAAGGAAAGTGCTGAGCCGTTTTAGATAGGAGTTGATGGAGTTTTCCATGTTGGGTATATTTTGATTAGAAGTGTAAACTGTGATGTCGTCGGCATAGCCGACTACTCGTGATCCTTTTGGAGGAGTTGGTAGATCGTGGAGGTAGGCGTTGAACAGCGCTGGGGATATTATGGAACCTTGGGGTTCCATACCTACGTGACTTTACCGAAAAAACCTAAGAATATGAATCCTTGCAGTCACGAAAGCTTCAAATATAGAATTAAAACCTTGGGGTACTCCTGCATGAATGTTTCGTGAGGAGGTTTGAATATCATGAAAGAGAGAGAGTGCGTGAGTGGCAGCCCGATTAGGTAGTTTGTAAGCCAGCAAACAAGGCCTGATGGTAGCGTCGAACCCTGGATGATGTTGATGAGCGTGAGGTGGTTAACGGTGTCGAAAGCCTTTGTAAGGTCAAGGGAAGCGACGATAGTGCGGGATGGGGTCTTTTTAAATCCTTTATATTAAGTTTGCTTGCGTGCTTGCGTGCTTGCTTGCTTGCTTACGACCGTGCAAATCTTTCCGTCGTTTTTTAACCCACTTCCCGTGATCCAATCGAGCTGACATTTTTCACACAGACTCGTTGTGCGAGACAATTAATGTTCGTGAATTTTTTTCCCCAAAATTTTACACTGTTTAGGGAAAACAAATTAAATATTTAATTACAAATTGTTTAATACTGGCAGACAATCATCTGACCCATAGGTGGCAGCCATCTCAAGCCAGATGACGAGAGGAATCTAGCCGCCACGCATATAAAGGATTTAGAGTGAAAAACTTTGTTTTTACGGGTTATACTTATTCTCATTGAAACCGTTTACAATTTTGGTGGTTAGGTTGAGAAGAGCTGTCGTTGTTGAGTGTGCAGGGCGAAAGCCGTGTTGGTGAGATGAAGGGGGTAAGTTTGTGGTGGTGATTGGAAGGATGAGGGCCTCTAAAATCTTGATCGATGGTCAAAGTAGGGAACTCGGCCTGTAGGACGTTGCTTGATTGAGGTCTTGGCCGGGTTTTGGAAGTGGGATGATTGTCGATGACTTCCAGATGGCCGCAATGAGGTTGCACTGTAGAGAGACGTTGATGGTGGAGGCGAGAAACTTGATGCCAAAGGGGCCGAGGTGTTTGAGGTGGGGCATAGCTATGCCATCAGGGCCGATTGCGGAATAATTTTTGGCTTTTTGACTGCGAGTTTCACCTCTTCAAGGCGAAATTGTGGGGGGGGGCGTCATTTAGAGGTAGTTCATCGATTTGACGGATTTTTTGACGGGTGGATTTATTGGAAGATTGTGGGGCGACTGATGAGAAAAGTTTGTTGAAGTGGTTGGCGATGTTACTGTTGTTGTTGTTTATGATGGATTTGTTGTTGAAAGTGATTGCACAATTGGGTGGCGGTCTGGAGTGTCCGTCGAAGGCTTTGATGGTCTTACAAAGTTTTGATGAGTTTTGGCGACGGTCAAAAGATTCAACAAACTCGTGCCAGCGTTCTGTTTTGGCTCGATTGATTAGCTTTGTGATTTCAATATTGAAGGCTGGGATTTGTGGTGATGTAGGAATTTTAGTCCTAATAGTGTTTCGTTGGTTTATTATCGTTGCGGCTTCTTTATGGAGGCAGGGAAGGTGTTGCTTGTAGCAGCCCGCTGGGATGGTGTGCTTGGTGGTAGTCGCGATGATGTTTCTGAAAATCTTTTCAGAGTTATGTGCGGATGTGTGGATATGGTTGATGTTGTCGGCGAATAATGCTTCTGATTCTGAAGTAAAAAGTGGCCAGTTGGCTTTTTAAAAGTTGTAATACAAGCGGTGTTTAGGAGTTTGTGGAGGCCTGGCGGCATTGAACGTCAACACAATTGGTAGGTGGTCGGATCCAAGGGCCGTAAAGACTTGCCAGTCGATTGATGAAAGCAGGTTTCTTGACGCTATTGAGATATCTGGTGAGGGTGAAGTGTCAGATGACGGAACTTTGGTGTGATTCTTTTTATTGAGTAGCCCCATAGGGGCAGCCGTTCAAGATATCGGCAATGAGGTCGCCACGTGCATCTGAGAGTGCCAAAGTTTATTGTGGGCGTTGAAATCTCCAATAACAATTGAGTCCATACTTTTTGGTTATTTCGGTGAAGTCACGTTGGTAGAAAAATAATAGATCACGACGTTTCGATCTCAACACAAGCTACCGTCATCAGGTGGGACAATCACAGCAAGAAAAAAAAAACTGCTGAAATAGGCTTGCAGTCACGAAAGCTTCAAATCAACAATTGAGTCGTTTACACTATTGGAACCTCATTTGCCAGTAAAAAAATATGATAATTGGTTTTTTACCCTTCTATCTGGCAACAAAACTGAAGGTGTCAGTTTTGTTGCCAGCCAGAAGGGTAAAAAACCAATTATCAATTGAGTCGTTGTTTGGTAAAGGTCGATTTGTATTGAACTGACAGTTGCGAGGGGAAGAACTGGCCGCTGGGATGTAGACGTTGATTACAGTGAGTGGGCCTAGATGGGATTTGATACGGACGCTTAAAACTTCTGTGGTGATATCAGAAGGAGGCATTGGGATTTTAACTTATTCAAATTGAATGCTGTTATGGATGAGGAAAGCGAGACCGCCACCAGCTGTCGGTCGGTCTCGATGGAGGAAAGTGAAATGTTGAAAGCTGAGCAGGCGAGAAGTGGCGTTCTGTTTTTCCGACAGACCTGTTCTTCACCTGAGTACGGCTGCTTGCGTTGTGGCCGAAACGTCGTGAGAATTGTATTTTGTTTTATTTTTATTATTTTATTATTTCCCTTCTACGTGACTTTATCGAAAGAACCAAGAAGATGAATCCCTGCAGTCACGAAAGCTTTAAATCGAAAAATAAAACATCTAGATTTTTTCTTTTTCATTAGGACGCTGTCTTTCCGACAGACCTGTTCTTCACCTGAGGACGGCTGCTTGCGTTGTGGCCGAAACGTCGTGAGAATTGTATTTTGTTTTATTTTTATTATTTTATTATTTCCCTTCTACGTGACTTTACCGAAAGAACCAAGAAGATGAATCCCTGCAGTCACGAAAGCTTTAAATCGAAAAATAAAACATCTAGATTTTTTCTTTTTCATTAGGACGCTGTCTTTCCGACAGACCTGTTCTTCACCTGAGGACGGCTGCTTGCGTTGTGGCCGAAACGTCGTGAGAATTGTATTTTATGTTTTATTTTCATTATTTTATTATTTCCCTTCTACGCGACTTTACTGAAAGAACCAAGAAGATGAATCCCTGCAGTCACGAAAGCTTTAAATCGAAATTTAAGTGTATTTTAATTTAGTTTCTTGGATGTCGGCTGTATTAATGGAGTTCTGTTGTAGGAAGGTGCTGAGTTCAAGAGCTTCGTTGTTGAAGCCGTTGATGTTTAGTGGAAGTATTTTTAGGTCGTTTTTGTTGTGGGCGTTTTGTTGTTATTATTGTTGTTGTTATTGTTGTTGTTATTTTAGTTATTGTTGTTGTTGTTCTTGTTGTGGTTATTGTTGTTGTTGTTATTGTTGTTGTTATTGTTTTTGTGATTGTTGTTGTTATTTTAGTTATGTGTTGTTGTTCTTGTGTTATTGTGTGTTGTTATTGTTGTTACTGTTGTGATTGTTGTGTTATTTAGTTATTGTTGTTGCTGTTATTGTTGTATTGTTGTTACTGGTATTGTTGTTATTTGTGTTATTGTTGTGTTGTTATTGTTGTGTATGTTATTTGTGTTATTGTTGTTGTTATTGTTGTTGTTCTTGTTGTTGTGATTGTTGTTGCTATTATAGTTATTGTTGTTATTGTTATTTGTGTTATTGTTGTTGTTATTGTTGCTATTGTTGTTGTTGTTATTGTTGTTGTTGCTGTTATCGTCACACTTGACCCCCGCTGCTAACCCGACTTTGCCCAAAGGTTCACGGCAGAACGGAGAGGCGAGCTCTGGTGCTGGTGGTGGAGGAGGAAGAGGCGGTGGTGGTGGTGGTGGAGGTGGTGGTGGAGCCAAGGGGAGGAGGAGGTCGACTGACGGTCGACGCCACGGGCGCAGGTCAAGTGCCCGCGACTCGTTCGGCAAGGGGGCGACTTGCTTCCTCCTGTCGACGGGCGGTGACTTCGCGTGCTCGCCCGACAGCGTCGCCCGCAAAGGTGGACTTCGCGTTCCAGCGGAATGGGCTTCTCTGCCGATGTGTGCCTTCGAGTGCCAGGAGGGGGAATCCGATGAGCAATGAAGCTCTTAGCTCACAGATGTCCACTAAGGGGGGCAACGGGGGGGGGGGGGGTGAGATCGTTGCAGCGACAAACGAAAATCAACGATGTGGAGCGCAACGTGTGGGAAAAGTTAAACACTTATAAACGTAACTGTTTTTTTATTTCTATGAGAATATTTATACTACTGGAGGAATCTGACGAGCTATAAAGCTCTTTGCTCACGGATGTCCACTAAGGGAGCACGGGGTAAGAACGTTGCATCAACTAAAACTAAATTATCCGTAATCGAGGTTGTTTTGGGTTAGATCGCGTAAGTGTAGAAATGTGTCGTTAAAACCCGCCACCACCCGACACAGCCAACTAGTGAGGGTTGTCACGTAAACAGAACGTGTCCAATGCGTCACTAGTACAGCACTAGTGTGTAGTGTATAGTGTAGTGTATAGTGTAGTGTATAGTGTAGTGTATAGTGTAGTGTATAGTGTATAGTATAGTGTATAGTATAGTGTAGTGTATAGTGTAGTGTATAGTGTAGTGTATAGTGTCGTGTATAGTGTAGTGTATAGTGTAGTGTATAGTAGTGTATAGTGTAGTGTATAGTATAGTGTAGTAGTGTATAGTGTAGTGTAGAAGTGTAGTGTATAGTGTAGTGTATAGTGTAGTGTACTAGTACAGCACACCGGTTGTGTGTTGGAGAGCCAAGCCACAACATTTACAAACTGAGTACGACGTTTCGCCAGTGATTACAACCAGCTTCATCAGGCGGGAGCCAGAAATCTGGCTGTCTCCTGATGAAGTTGGTTGTAACGTCGTACCGATTTGAATTGGCCGTGGGTCACCCCTAGGTCGACTCAGCCTCAAACGAGTGGTGCGTAGCCGGCCGCGCTGATCGTAGGTGCGGGATTGTGCGTGGCGGTGACCACCACAATGGTGGTGTCTGTGTGTGTCTGTGTGTGTTTGTGTGTATGTGTGTGTATATGTGTGTTGTGTGTGTGTGTTTGTGTGTCTGTGTGTGTCTGTGTGTGTGTTTGTGTGTGTGTGTGTATGTGTGTGTGTGTTTGTGTGTATGTGTGTGTGTCTGAGTGTGTCTGTGTGTGTCTGTGTGTGTGTGTTTGTGTCTCTGTGTGTGTGTATGTATGTGTGTGTGTGTCTGTGTGTGTCCTGGGCCTCCCCTATGTCGACTCAGCCTGAAATGAGTACCTGGTGCGATGTGTAAACATCGCCACTGGGGAGACAAAGGCGGTCGGGCGTGGTGCTGGCCACCCACCCCCTCGTGTACCGTGCCAGCCTTCATAGGTGCTCGCTAACAGCACTTGCCCCTACAGTCTGTTAAGGCTACACGGGGGATCTTTATCTTTGTCTGTGTGTGTGTTTGTGTGTCTATGTGTGTGCGTGTCTATGTGTCTGCGTGTCTATGTGTCTGTGTGTGTATGTTTCTGTGTGTGTCTGTATGTATGTGTGTGTGTCTGTGTGTGTCTGTATGTCGGGAGCTGGACCGGTACCGCCTGGATCTCTGTGGCATTCAGGAGGTCCGGTGGACCGGTTCTGGCTCCTGCCACCATGAGGGGTGGACAGTCCTCTACTCGGGGCAGGAGACTGCCAAACAACAGGGTGTGGCTCTTCTTCTGAACAAAAGAATGAAGGGGGCGTGGGAGCGTGGCGGTGAGGTGTGGGAAGCTGTAAGCCCCAGGATACTTTGGGCTCGCCTTCCCATCAACCAGAGGCGAGGAGTGGTGGTCGTGGTTACTTATGCCCCCACCGAAGACGAACATCCGTGGAGGGATGCAAGCAAAGCCGATGAGTCAGACGCTTTCTATGACCTCCTGTCACAGGTGCTGGCTAAAGTGGCCACTCGGGACAGAGTCATCTTGTTGGGTGACTTCAATGCCCGAGTTGGTCATGATGCTGACACCTGGTCTGGAGTGATTGGAAGGCATGGGCCAGATCAGCTCAATAATAACGGTAGGAGGCTGCTAGATTTTTGTGCAGCCCATGGGCTTGTAATTACCAACACGCTCTTCCGGCATCGGCGCATCCACACAACATCATGGATACATGCCGGGTCCAAGCAAGAACATCTGCTGGACTACATAGTGACGGACCAGCGGATGCGAACCCATGTCCTTGACACCAGGACCTACCGTGGAGCTGATCTGTCCTCTGACCATCGACTAGTCATCTGTAAGATGCGCCTGCCTTTCTTCCACTCCGGTGGTGGGTGTACACCCAGGATCCCATTCCAACCAAAAGTGGCCTGGTCTCAGTTAGCTGATGAAAGTTGCAAGCGAGAATTTCATCATCGCTTGCAGCTGGGGTTGGCATCGTCCCCCACTCCACCTGATGTCGAGGGTAAATGGGCGAGGTTTAGGACTGTGACTCATGCAGCTGCAATGGCTGCTTTGGGTACGCGGTCCAGACCTCCCCAGAAACCCTGGCTGACAGAGGAGGTGTTCAGGTTAATTGAGAAAAAGCGACAGGCCCACTCTCATCGCCTACAGCATCCCACGTCAGAGAATGAGGAGGTTTACCGCAGCCTTCGCTCGGAAGTTCGGAGAGCCGTAAGGCGTTGTAAGGATGGGTGGTGGTCGCGGGTTGCTGAGGAGATGGAGTCTGCCTCAGTGGCCCGTGATCACAAATCACTATTTAACTCCATCAAAAAAGTAACCTGCAGCGCCACACCTATTACCATCATTAGAGGAAAAAACGGTGATCCAATCTCCGACCCCCAGGAACAGGTTTGCAGATTTGCTGAGCATTTCTGTGAGGTCCTGGGGGAGGGAAATTCTCTCAGCCAGGAAAACATCATGGCACAAAGTGGGGATAACCCTGCTGAGGCTGCGGTGCCTCAAATATTGGAAGAGGTCACCCCCTGTGAGTGGCTGGCTGAGGTTCCAGCTGTTGAGGAAGTACTGAGGGCGATCCGGAGTCTGAGACCAGGGAAGGCACCGGGCAGAGATGATCTCCCAAGCGAAATGCTGAGGGAGGGTGGCGTTTGTGCACAGACTGCCCTATATGACATCATAACAACAGTCTGGACCACTGGACGGGTTCCGCAGGACTGGAAGGATGCCCTGGTGGTCCCCCTCTTTAAGAAGGGGGACCGCACAGACTGTAACAACTACAGGGGCATCTCACTCCTCAGTGTGCCGGGTAAGGTCCTGGCAAGGATTATTCAACATCGCCTTGCTAGGCACGCTGAGGAGGGGCTTGCGGAGCCCCAATGCGGTTTCAGGAAAGGGCGGTCCTGCACAGATGCCATATTTTCTGTCCGTCTGCTACAGCAGAGGTGTAGGGAATTCCAAAAAGACCTACATCTCTGCTTTATTGACCTGGTCAAGGCCTATGATACCATCAGTAGGACTGGACTCTGGGTTGTTCTTCGTGCTTTCGGAGTCCCTGACCCTCTGCTCACGATCATTAAGGACCTTCATGATGGTGAGCGGGCCCGGGTAAAACTACGTGGCCGGGAGTCGGAGCCTTTCCCTGTACACCTTGGGGTGCGACAGGGATGTCCTCTGGCTCCCACATTATTTAACATCTATTTTGACCGCGTAGTTCGTGAAGCCTTCAATAGCTGTACCGGGGGAATTTCCGTTTGGTACAGATATAATGGGAGGCTGATCGACGCCCGGGTGCGATCAAGGGATGGCTCCCTATTGGTCAACCACGTTATGTATGCCGATGATTTGGTAATAGCTGCTCATTCAGAAGAGGAGTTGGAGGCGCTGCTGCTGAGACTGGAGCGTGCCACTAAGAGGTGGGGCCTTACCATCAGCCCCACCAAAACCAAGCACCTGCCTGGGTATTTTGTACCATCGGACACTCCACCCCCACAACTCCCAATTGGTGATGGGGCAGTTGTGGAGAGAGTGGAGAGTTTCCCATACCTGGGCAGTGTGCTTATGACCGGCTCCAGTCTATCAGCAGAGGTCTCACTCCGAATCAGTCGAGCGGCAATATCTTTTCATCGGTTGCGTAACGCTGTGTGGAAGCTACCTGGTCTGTCGCTCCGCACGAAGCTTCAGGTCTTCTCGGCCACGGTCATTCCCTCCCTTCTCTACGCTTGCGAGACGTGGACCCCCCTGGTGGAGCATCTTCGCCGGTTGGAAACATTTAGGCTGGCCTGCCTACGATCCATCCTGGGTTTAACCAGGCTGGATTGTGTGAGGAGCTCACAAATCCTTGAAAGATCTGGGCAAAGTCCCATCAGTGAGCTCCTCCGGCAGGCAAGGCTGCGTTGGCTGGGTCATGTAGCCCGCATGCCCAGCCACCGCATGCCTAAACAGCTTTTGTTCGGCCGGATCGAGGGGGCTAGACGGGCGCGGCACGGGCTGGAGAAGAGATGGAGTGATGTGGTACAGGAGGACGTGGAGCTGAGTGGACTTGCCGATGACTGGTACCAGCGGTGTCAAGATCGGCCTCAGTGGAGGAGGCTCGTGAAGGACGCTACTGGGCAGTTGGAGGCAGTCGCCCTCCAACAACAACGGAGGGCGGAGGAGCGACGCTCACAACAACGAGCGGAGCGCCGGGTGGCTAAAGCACAGCAAGTTGGCACAGTAGGGGGCACAGGTGGTGCATCAGCCAGTCATCTCGGTCATCTCGGTCAGTCGACCAGTGGCACCTGGGTCTGCCCCGTGACCTCCTGCCAGCGGGCTTTCGACACTTCACGTGGCCTCAAGGTGCACTTGGCCTGGCACAAGCATCGTGGTGACGTCACCGCCACTTAGTGGCGAATGGCGGTTGTTGTTGTCTGTATGTGTGTTTGTATCTGTGTGCCTGTGTGTGTCTGTGTATGTCTGTATGTGTGTGTGTCTGTGTGTGTCTGTATGTGTGTGTGTGTCTGTGTGTGTCTGTATGTGTGTGTGTGTGTCTGTGTGTGTATGTGTGTGTGTGTGTATCTGTGTGTGTGTGTGTTGGGGCAGCTACAGGGAGCGGTGGTGCAGCGGTTAGCGTCATGAACCCGCCCGTGACCCGAGTTGCATTCCCGCTCACGGCCAGCCAACACAATCTGGGCCTGGGCCTCCTCCCTTAGGTCGACTCGGCCTCAAATGAGTACATGGTGCGGTGTGTAGTAAACATCGCCACTGGGGAGACAAAGGCGGCCGAGCGTGGTGCTGGCCACCCACCCCCTCGTGTACCACAGTGCCGGCCTTCATAGGTGCCAGCTAGCAGCACTTGCCCCTACAGCCTGCCGAGGCTACACGGGGGACCTTTGCCTGTGCGTGTGCAGGCTACGAGAAGTCCCGCAGTCTGAACAACATCGCGGGCCTCACTGCGAGCAGCCTGGGACTGCCCCACACGGCATCGCACCCTTCACTGCGGAGATCACGATCGCCCATCCCCTCCATCCTCTAGAGCACCACCACCCACTACACATACACACACACATACATACACACACATACACACACATACACACACACACACCCACACACACACACATACACACCCCACCACACACACACACATACACACATACACCCCCCACACACACACCACACACACACACCCACACCCACACAACCACACACACCCACACACACACATACACACACAGACACACACACATACACACACAACCACACACACACCCACACCCACAACCCCCACCCCACCACACACACCCACACACACACAACCCCACACACACACACCACACACAACCACACACACACACACCCCTACACACACACACACACCCACACACACACACAACCACACACACAAACCCGCCCACACACACACCCACACACACACAACCCCCACACAACCACCCACACACCCACACACACACAACCCCCCCCACAACCCCCCACCCCCCCACCCCCCCGGCCACGCTGAGTGCGCCATGTGGAGGGGGGTTGGTGGGGCGCCCTGAGATGGGACGCTCAGTGACTGGAGCCAGTCGCTCGCGAAGACGGCGGCGGTGGTGGTGGTGATGGTGGTGGTGGTGATGGTGGTGATGGTGGTGATGGTGATGGTGGTGATGGTGGTGGTGATGGTGGTGGTGATGGTGGTGATGGTGATGGTGGTGAAGATGGTGATGATGGTGGTGATGGTGGTGATGGTGATGATGGTGGTGATGGTGGTGATGGTGGTGAAGATGGTGATGATGGTGGTGATGGTGATAATGGTGGTGGTGGTGATGGTGAAGGTGGTGATGATGGTGGAGGTGATAGTGGTGAAGATGGTGGTGGTGGTGGTGAAGATGGTGAAGATGGTGGTGAAGATGGTGATTGTGATGATGGTGAAGATGGTGATGATGATGGTGGTGGTTAATATGATGGTGAAGATGGTGGTGTTGGTGAAGATGGTGATGATGCTGGTGAAGATGATGGTGGTGACATTGGTGAAGATGATGGTGGTGACATTGGTGAAGATGATGGTGGTGATGATGGTGGTGGTGAAAATCATGGTGGTGATATTGGTGAAGATGATGGTGGTGACATTGGTGAAGATGATGGTGGTGACATTGGTGAAGATGATAGTGGTGACATTGGTGAAGATGATGGTGGTGACATTGGTGAAGATGATGGTGGTGATGATGGTGGTGGTGAAAATCATGGTGGTGATATTGGTGAAGATGATGGTGGTGACATTGGTGAAGCTGATGGTGGTGACATTGGTGAAGATGATAGTGGTGACATTGGTGAAGATGATGGTGGTGACATTGAAGATGATGGTGGTGATGATGGTGGTGGTGAAGATGATGGTGGTGATATTGGTGACGATGGTGATGATGGTGGTGGTGAAGATGGTGGTGATATTGGTGATGATGGTGGTGATGGTGGTGGTGGTGATGATGAAGATGATGACGGTGCTAACGACGATGGTAATGCTGAAGATGGCGGCGGTGGTGGTGATGATGATGATGAGGGTGGTGCTCCTGAAGCTGCTGACGATGAAGATGGTGACGCTCACCGCGATGATGGCGGTTCCTCTGGAGATCGTGGTGACGATGGCGGCAATGCTAAAGATGACTCTGCCGATGACCCCAATGAATCTGTCGGTGACGGTCAAGCCGTCGACGACGATGATGAAGGTGGTGGTGATGGTGGTGATGGTCACCTGCGCGATGACTCCCACGGGCAGTACAGCAAGTAGTTTGGAGTGGAGCGGTGATGCCTCCTCCATCACTTCTTGAAGAGAGACTCGAAGTCGCTTTCGACGAAATGTGAAGACGCGCGGCGCGGCTGCGAATGTTGCAGCGAGCAGCAGATTTGAACAACAACAACAAGAAAAATATATATGTATGAATGATAAAGTATAAATAATAATGTGTGTGTCTGTGTGTGCGTGTACGTGGAACTTCTATGGCGCCGTACGTGGCCAATCGCGTTAATCGGTGGTGTGGTGGGATGGACTTCAAACTAAACAACAACAGCAACAGCAGCAGCAGTTCTAAACAAATGGGTTTGTCAATGTAGGCGATGATTTAAAAGTTGCAGAACGGCTCCCAAGTTGGCTTCCTTCATATCGGAAGAGAAGAGCGTTCCAGACGGCCGCAGAATAACAATAATGAGGTTATCCGCTTCAAGAAGTTACATTTCATATTCTTAGATCTTTCGGTAAAGTCACGTAGAAGGGAAATAATGAAATAAGAAAACATATTTTTACTATTAAAATAATAATAAATATTTAAATTATTTTTTATTTCCCTTCTACGTGACTTTACCGATGGATCAAAAAATATGAATCTCTGCAGTCACGAAAGCTTTAAATCGAAAGTTAAAGTTCTTTCCGTCACTCCAGCGAACTTTCAAACAAAACTACTCAGCAGTTCGCAATGAAGGCTGTTGGTTTAGATCGCTTAAGCGCTTACGAACGAATATTGAGTAATATTCGTCGCGAAAGCCTTCGCGTGAAACATACTCAACTGTTTTTATTTCACCACCACCGCAGAGGTACTGTGTAGTTTCTCACGACAGCAGCTCGCACCAATTGGCTAAAAGCAAGGTCCTGGCCATGGAGTCAACATTGGGGGGGGGAGTCAAATATTCCAGGGGGTCTGGGGGTCAGCTCCCCCCACCCCCCAGAACTTATTTCCTGTCTGAAATATTACAAAAAATTCACTAACACACAGGATGGACTTTTTATTTATTTTTTACAATAATGTCTAATAGTGTGTTGTATAACATTGCTCTGTTTTTTCTTTTTTTTTACCTTTTCTTGTTTCATTGTATGTAATGGCAGAGATTGGGGATTAATAAAGTACAACCATAACCACAATCATATGAACAGAAATCTATTTTATAGCAATAGATTGGGGGGGGGGACATTTTGAGCACATTTGAATATTGGGGATGATGTGCCCACACTGAACCCCACCAACACACACACACACACACCAACACACACACCAACACACACACAACAACAACCGCCATTCGCCACTAAGTGGCGGTGACGTCACCACGACGCTTGTGCCAGGCCATGTGCACCTTGAGGCCACGTGAAGTGTCGAACGCCAGCTGGCAGGAGGTCACGGGGCAGACCCAGCAGGTGCCACGGGTCGACTGACCGAGATGACCGAGATGACTGGCTGATGCACCACCTGTGCCCCCTACTGTACCAACTTGCTGTGCTTTTGCCACCCGGCGCTCCGCTCGTTGTTGTGAGCGTCGCTCCTCCGCCCTCCGTTGTTGCTGGAGGGCGACTGCCTCCAACTGCCCAGTAGCGTCCTTCACGAGCCTCCTCCACTGAGGCCGACCTTGACACCGCTGGTACCAGTCATCGGCAAGTCCACTCAGCTCCACGTCCTCCTGCACCACATCACTCCATCTCTTCTCTAGCCCGTGCCGCGCCCGTCTAGCCCCCTCGATCCGGCCGAACAAAAGCTGTTTAGGCATGCCGGTGGCTGGGCATGCGGGCTGCATGACCCAGCCAACGCAGCCTTGCCTGCCGGAGGAGCTCACCGATGGGACTTTGTCCAGATTTTTCAAAGATTTGTGAGCTCCTCACACAATCCAGCCTGGTTAAACCCAGGATGGATCGTAGGAAGGCCAGCCTGAATGTTTCTAACCGGCGAAGATGTTCCATTAGGGGGGTCCACGTTTCGCAAGCGTAGAGAAGGGAGGGAATGGCCGTGGCCGAGAAAACTTGAAGCGTCGTGCGGAGCGACAGACCAGGTAGCTTCCACACAGCGTTACACAACCGATGAAAAGATATTGCCGCTCGACTGATTCGGAGTGAGACCTCTGCTGTTAAACTGGAGCCGGTCATAAGCACACTGCCCAGGTTTGGGAAACTCTCCAATCTCTCCACAACTGCCCCATCACCAATTGGAAGTTGTGGGGGTGGAGTGTCCGATGGCACAAAATACCCAGGTAGGTGCTTAGTTTTGGTGGGGCTGATGGTAAGGCCCCACCTCTTAGTGGCAAGCTCCAGGTTCAGCAGCAGCGCCTCCAACGCCTCCTCTGAGTGAGCAGCAATTACCAGAACATCGACATACATAACGTGGTTGACCAATACGGAGCAATCCCTTGACAGCACCCAGGCATCGATCAGCCTCCCATTTTATCTGTACCAAATGGAAATTCCCCCGGTACAGCTATTGAAGGCTTCTCTCTCTCATCATCATCGCGGTGGCTAGGAGATGTTAACTACCTCGCCTGGTGTGCAGGAGATCTTGGGCTTCATCCCGACCCTGACGATGCCTGCTGCTGTATATTCGTAGTTGGCTTCTATCTCATCATCAGCACGGTGACTATGAGATGTTGACTACCTCGCTTGGTAGGCAGGAGATCGTGGGTTTCATCCCGACCCTGACGATGTCTGCTGCTGTATATTCGGAGTTGGCTTCTCTCTCATCATCATCATCGCGGTGGCTAGGAGATGTTAACTACCTCGCCTGGTCTACAGGAGGTCGTGGGTATGAGCCCAACCCTTACTCCGCCTGTTGTAGATTTGGACTTCGCGTCTCTCTCTCTCTCGCCCTGGTGAGATGTTAACCACCTCGCCTGGTCTACAGGAGGTCGTGGGTTCTATCCCGACGCTTACTCCGCCTGTTGTAGATTTGGCTTCTGCGTCTCTCCCCTCTCTCGTGGCCGGGGGAGTCCTCCCCGATGCTTTTTGTTATTCCCTTGCACCCAAATTCGACGCGTTGGAGTCGTTTCGCATCACGCGCCTCGAGAGAGAGAGAGGATTGGGGCGCCTGCTGCTGCTGCTATGAATTTCCATCCTGTGGAGCGGCTATCAATTTAGTGTTTTGTTCTGTGATAGCCAGGGGCCTGCTTCTGTGAACGAAATGAACAGAGCCTGATGAGGCAGAAAGCTTGGTGGGTGGAGGGGGCTTGAATGGTGAAAGTAAATGAATGAATTTCGATTTAAAGCTTCTTTCGTGACTGCAGGGATTCATCTTCTTGGTTCTTTCGGTAAAGTCACGTAGAAGGGAGATAATAAAATAATAAAAATAAAACATAATAACATAATATAATGAAAAGTAAATTATTTTATTATGTTTTATGTTTATTATTTAATTGTTTCCATTCTACGTGACTTTACCGAAAGAACCAAGAAGATGAATGAATGAAGTTGGTTTGTTAAAAACATATTTTCTCGGTGCGTCGTTCTCTCTTGAGCGTCGTTCTCGGGCTCAGCCTGGTGCCCCTATAGACTCATC